GCTACAAAGTGCTAAGATTTATATACACTTATTGTGACTGTATCCTTGTGCCTTGGTTTTACCAGTCAATGCACTGTACCCTGTAAAAGGTTTACAGACAAAATAGAAGGCATGATGACACATCAGAATTATGATGTAAAAATCGGATCCTATGTATTTTTTAAATGTTCTAAGACTTTTATCACAGTTAAGGCATTAACCATTCACTATTATTAACGGAATAGAAATTCATACTTTTGTATTGGCCAGGGACTCAGACTGATAACTGCATTTATAATAACGTCAAGAAACTGTCATTTTGAGCAACTTCGTAGATGATGGGTGTTTTATTTTTAATCTCCACATTTGATCAGTCATTGAAGATTGGCACCAGTGCTGCGTGTTCACCTATGTACGTAAAAACTGAGAGTGAGACACACCGTTCTAGACTGTGAGGGTGCCCAGGGAAAAAGAAAACAGGAATACTTTGAAAATTTTAAAAACATTTTTTTTTTGTCTGCCAAGGACTCAGGAAAATTAAGGCATTTTTTATTTCAGGATAAATTGTACATGAAATCCCTGACTGGCTGTTACTGTTTACCCATGTGAATTGTGCTGCTGAAGTACATAAGCGTTTACCCTCACTGGCTTGACAAAAAAAAATGTTTTTTAATTTGGACCTGAGAAGTCATATAAGGAACACGTCACCCAACACATATTTCCTTATTTTGTCACGAATCTTTGCATCTTTATATAGGAAGACTGTTCCCACTTAATGAAAAAACAAAGAGGTGAATGTTCTTTAGCAATCAGAAAGTGAGTTTCTTTTCGTGATAGAGGAACCGTGTTTAGCACAGTTCTCCACGTTTAAGCACAAACCACAGCCCAGAGACTCACGGCCCCTCCAGCGTCTCTCTCTTCTGGGGCCTCCAAGGAGGAAGAGTCGGCACCTGTCACACCTGGGAGGAGGACACCGGCTGGACTCGGGTCCAGGGTGACAGGAGTGGGTCATGCTCAGCTGCCTGCTGAACCGCTGAGACGCTTCCGATGCTGCCAACCCCACGTCGGAGCTCTGGTGGGTCTTCCACCCTGGCTGCAAGTTGGAATCTCCCGGGAAGTGCAAAAAGCTGCTGCCGCCCGGGCTACCCCCTGGTCCAGCGAAGTTGGAACCTCCAGGACGTCTGAACCTCCAGGAGGGGACGCAGGCGGCAGCATGTGTCAGAGGCGCCACCCCCCCAGGGTGACTCACGTGTTGTGAGCCCCCCAGTCGACAGCGTACTCTTATCACCAAAGTTGAAATGAGAATCAGCTTCCCTGTTCTTTCCTTTACCAGAAATTTGCAATAAAAAGAATAAAACTGCCAAAACACTGTGGTAGATGATTTTTAAATTTGAGTCATTCAGTGTGAAGCGAAAATTTAGTTCCTCTTACCTTTCTGTGGAAACCCTTTGGTGGTTGCACTCAAGTGCTCTGCGTCCAGGCAGACCTGCTGGCAACTGGAGAGTCACGGGGAGCTGCTCCATCCGGCAGTCTCCGGGGCTACGGGCACCTTCTCGCCTCTGGAATAACAGCAGCTGGCAGACTCTAGTGTGCACTGCGTGCCCATGCTGGACCTAGGTGTGTGTGAACTCCATTCATGATAACGAGGTAGGTACTATACATTTGCCCATTTTACAGATGAGAAAACTGAGTCATGTAAAGGTTAAGCAACTTGCCGCAAATCCTGCAGCTTGTAAGTGGCAGCCATGATTCAAACTGCACACCCTACTTCTGCAGTCTGGCCACCTAACCAGTACACCCTACCTCTAAAGACACATCCTTGCCTCCCACATAACTCGGGCTTCCCAGGCCACCGACTCCAGGCCCATCTCTGTGTGAACTTGCGGTCTGGCCATCTGAGTTCTTTTGCATTTTAAATGCCCTGTTTCCAAATACCTAAGAGAGGCAGTCTTATTAGCTTTGCTTGGGTCAGATGTCTTCCTCTGGTTGTATCAGCAGAGCTGGGGTCAGCTGGTGCCACAGAACTGGAAGGTGACAGGCGTTTCATCGTGTGTGCTTGGGTGTCCTA